GTGCACCACCAAGCCCAGGCTTATTGGGTTTTTGGAATAAGGATTTTTATAAAAACCAAAGACACCTACAAGTCACCTACATCTCAGTGGAGCCCTACATTGAGTTGTTTTGTGGTTGGTTTGATTTGGTTGTTTTGGTTTTTTTGAGACAGAGCCTCACTGTGTAGTGCAGGCTGGCCTTGAACTCCCTTATGTAGCCCAGGCTGGCCTCGAAATCATAGCAGTTCTCTTGCCTCAGCCTCCCGAATGCCGGGATTACAGGAGTGCGCCACCACGCCCGGCTTCATATAGAGATGAATTATTTTCACTGTAAAAATGAGCAATAATCTCTGAATTATTTTGAAGACTAAATGAGATACGATACAAGCCCCAAACACAGCTATATTTCATTTCCCTTCCCTGGCTCCCCGCCTCCAACATGAGCCACCACATTTCCCCTGCAGCTTTTCCTCCTGGACCCACATACCCCACATAGGTGAGGAGCTGTCTGACCCTAAGACAATGCAACTCTGCACACTCTCCCTCCTTCACAGCCACAACTCCAGGCAGAACTTTCTGCGTAAGAAACACTTTTACCACACATTTCAGTATCAAGTAATGGTTACACTTTCAAATCGGGAGTGCACTATCTAAGCGTACAAGCTCCTAAGGGGATGAAAGGACAGGATACTTGTAAGCAAGAAATCCTGAAGGAAACCTTGAATGTGTGCTGGTTCACCTTCTCACACAAACGTGGCAGATGTGATAGAAGACCGTAACATCTGGCTAAATGGTCCTTGAGAACTGCCTTTGCCAAAGACGAAACGGTGGACTGAATAAAAAGAAGGAAAGCTCCAAATGCGAGCACCTGGGTCAAAATAAAACATGTAACCAAAAGTGATCTTTGAAATTGTTTGTAAACTGTTTCCCAAAGCAGAGACTGATAAAATAGGTTTCTGTTAGTTTCATTGTAAGTATAAATATTCCTTCTTCAAACACAAAAGAAGTTAAAATAGTTCATGCAAATCAACTGAGTATTAACGCTCTCATCATGTTCATTCAGAGATCAGAAAAGAAATCTGGGGATTCCTCCATAAGATTTTGTGACTTTGAATTTGCAGATACAAAAGAAGCTGACAATCTGTCAGAGCACACCAGAGATAAAAATGAATCCCGTTTAAAGATGAAGCCAGGGAATTTAAATGGCTTTCATCAGATCCCTAATTTGATCCTCTCTGAAACTATATAAGTAAATGTTCACTTTTTGCAATGATTTACAGCCCTGAAGAAGTTCCAAGAGGAAGAGCTCTTCGATGCTCCGGAAGTACTCAGCAGCTGGCGTCTGTCCGCGGGGTCCGGGTCGGAGCGGGGGTCAGGGTCAGGGTCAGGGCTGGGGCCGGGGCCTGGGTCAGGGTAGTGGAAAGGAGCCTGCAACAAGGGAGAAGTCCTAGCACCCTGCCTCTGCGCCCTGGCGGAAGACAGCTGGCTCGGCTACCAGGAATGCTGAATCATTCCTTTGGAAGGTACCTTTTTAAACTTTGTGTTTTAAATGTCAACCGTTCTAAAGGAAGAGAAAAAATTTTACATTTCACATCTAGGGTATTTTTATGGATACATACTTTTAGTTGTCAAGTTATTTTAGAATCATGACTGTTCTTCCAACACTGGCCTGGGTGACAGACACAAAGCACTGATTTACACTCATCCCCAACACACAAGGCTCCAAGTATAACTGGGCAGGTGGGCCTCTCGGTCCCGGAAGAGAAAGCATTACTGCTGACATCATAAATCCACATCAAGGCTTCTAGCGGACAAGACGCTTTGTCCAGCTGCCCAGGGGACAATAAGAAGGAGAACATGACCATGATGTAACAAGTCATCCTTTCTTCAGATCCTTGGTATTTTCAAGTGTCTTCCCTCCTGAACAGAATTGCAAGTCACACAACCAAGGCAAAGCACTCAACAGTGCCAGGCCAGCCCAAAAATCAACTGGGCCTGGGGAAGAAATAATGAGGAAAATACTGATTAATTCGTTCTACTGATTTCTCCCCTGCATTCCTGTCATCGTAGTACCCAGCCTTGGAAGGAGGCTGGCGAGCTCGCTGGGTATCGACTCTGGTAAGCAGAATGACCCAAGAACACCCAGCCGTGTCACTCAGCCAGAAAGCCCCAATGCCCCTTTCGGACACAGTACAGTAGTTTTCTGTTGACAGTCCCATACGCAGATCCAGCTATTTTTCAATGAACCCTATCTGTTGGAAGAACCTCATGACAAGCCGAAGATTTCTTTCCTACTTGGCTTTATAGTTGTAATACAAAAACATTTTTTACCATATATTCCTGATAATGAACAAAATTTTCTTCGAGAATCACAGCATTACAAAATGGTTTTCAAAAATGGCTTCTATGTGACATGAAACTACCTCAGTTTGCACAATTACTTTTGATTTATTTTTCCAACACTGAACATTACTGATTGAGACTCATCAAGCTCATTTAAGTAGTACTCAAACTAAAAGTGCATAGCCATAGCCATAAAAATAACAGGTCTTGCTATCAAATAACTAAAACAATGATTATTTTAGTACCCTAAATATTTTTATATAATTATATAAACCAGTTTATTAAGAACCTTAAACTGAATTTTATTTATGTTAAATGTAACTCAAAATATACACAGGGTCAAGTGATATTTGCTAAAAAATAATCCTGATAAATTTTTGTTAACCTCTTGCTATATAGAATACAATTAAAACTTTATAGAAAATGCATGTAACCAGTATCTGTATTAGTCTGTATTAGGAAACCTCAAGCAGTTTTCTCATTACTATTGATGAAACTGATACAGGTAGTTACTTCATACATCATAATTTTCTTAGTCTTTCTCTGACACCAACCAGTACCGGCTAGAGGATGCTTGATCCAGTAGAAATTGGTTCTTTCAGAAAATGCTTATTGCACACCTACTATGTGCTGAGCTAGACTCCAGATTTCATGTGCACTAAGCTACCTTCAAGTTCATTATATTAAGCAAAGTAATCCAACCACAGAAAGACAAAGACCTCACAATCTTCTTCTGATGTGCAATTAAAATGTTAATCTCATAGGCGTAGGGAGTAGAATGGGTGGTAGTTACAGAGGTTGGGGTGGTTAGGGGCAAGGGAAGTTGCAAAGCTGTTGGTCAAAACAAACACAATTAGAGGCACCTGGTAGAATAAATGTAAGAGAGTTGCTGTACAGCTTGGTGATTACGGTTAATGACAACAGACTGTATTTTTGGAAAGTGCAGAGAGTGGGTCACAAAACTGCTAACCATTTGAGATAATACCTTTGCTAATCAGCTAGAGTTAACCATTGCCCAGCGTATATACCTCAAAATACCATGCTGTCCACAATACATACATACAATTTTATCTAAGTCTAGGTAAAAACAAATAACTAGCTAAGCCATTCCTTCCCTGAAAAGCCCATGGTCTATTAAAGGCAAAGACAGCCACATTAAGGTTGAAGGTGCAGTGTATGCAACAACATGGAAGGTCCCTGCCAGGGCCCTTTAAAACAAGCAGGAAGGTCAGCTCCCAGCGACGGCCCACGTCGTGAGAAAGTCCCCCTCCTTCATCAAGGAGATGGTGGCCTAGTCCTGTCTGCTTTGCACTTCACCGTGGCGAAGCACAGCTGACAGGTGAAGACAACATCAAAACATCTCCGAGAATTACGACCACCGTCCTGATTCCTTCCTCCCTCACCGGGTATCACCACTGCATTTAAACACGTCAGCCTAAGACCTAATCCGAGCAGGAAAAGATAAACAAGTCCAGCTGTCCTTAAGACCAGTCACAGACACGGCAAGAAAAGCGTCCTCTAGAAATCTACAGCCTGACACACGAAAATTGCATTTCTAGCTGGGTTTTTTAACCATGTGTACTACATCCGTTTTTCTTCTATTTAGCCAAGTGGGTAAAAATAGGATCTAAAAGGATAAATGCTTACTGTATTGCATACTGAAGTAGAAGGCAGGATGATTCGATACATCATAAATCACATCTTTTCATTATATCAACATTAAAAAAGATCTTCCCCTCCGCTAAAACAAACTTACATCATTAGAAAAAGAGTCTTGATCTTATACGCCTAACATCTAAAACGCTACGGTGCGCCTAAAGACAGGGGCCTGTCGCACGGAAAAGCAGCGCATATGCACACTAACATCTAGACGTGTTTACTTGCTCCTCACAGCGCCAAAAGAAGGAGGTAAAAACACCGAGTGCCTTAAACAATATGCGCGTCTGAGAGCCTGACGGGAGATCAAAGCTCATTCATTACTTTCCTCCAGTACACAGTCGCCCTTTAGAAGCAGCCAACTACCAAAGACTGAAGAGGACAACGCTCTGTGACATTGTGGTGTGCAGGAGTCTCAACCCCTCCGAAATTCGGGCTCCCCGTCTCCAGCACACCCCACCCCCGCAGGCCGCGGGAGGGGCCCCGTTCCCCGCTCAGGGTGACCTCCTACGGTCTGGGCTCAGAGGTGAGCCCAGGGCGGACGGCCCAGCAAAGTTGTTTTGCCGCTGCAGCCCCAGGACAAGGTCTGAAAGCCAGGGGCGCCAAGCCTGCCAGCCTTTGTCAGCGGGGCTGGCAAGTTCTCCCGAGACGAGTCCCCGCCACCCCCGACAAAGCTGAGGGGCCACTGATCCTGCACCTTGGAATCCTGTGGGTCCCCGGGCACAAACCGGCTCATCAGCTCTGCGGATGTCGGGATTGTCCCTAAAACCCGGGATGGAATGGCAGCAGTTTGGGCAAGTTTGATTTATTCCTCCCGAGCCGGGCACCGCTCGAGGACTCAGGGCACCGTCCCTCCCCCACGGGCTCCCGCAGCCGGCGGCGCCTCCCGGGTTCCGGCTTCCACTGCATCTCTCGGGCAGTTCTGCTCCCGAGGAGAAAACAATGGACTTCTCGTCTTCCCGGACCAACAAAGGGCTCGGCGGGCCCGCGGGCGCACGCCTCCCGGCCGCGGCCGGACCCACCTCGCGCAGCTGCTCCAGCTCCTGCTTGAGGCTGTCGTACTCGGCCTCCAGCTCGTCATACTGCTGCTTCAGCGTCAGCTTCTCCTCCAGCACCACCAGCCCGTACTCGGCCGCCTGGATCTTCTCGTGGGTGGTCTCGCTGAGCTCGCGCGTCAGCCGCTCGATCTCCGTCTTGTAGTGATCCACGCCCGGCAGCGG